AAAATTAACACGCACGATAAATCCTGGGAGAGAGAGACAAGCTCGTTAAAGGGGTAGTTTTACAAATTTCAAATTATTTCAAATTAAATCGCGCAATTATTTAATATATTTATCGACTACGATAAACCAAAGGAACGTTATATTATGTTTTACTACGTCTTTAAAGAAATGTATTAAAACCAAAAAAGGGACGGATTATTGTCCCTATTTTAATCTTTCATTTTACACATTAATTTTGGAAAAATTAATTTTACGGAACAACAAAATGATTCGTTTGAACGGCAAAACAACGGCGCATTTGCATGCAATCTGATTCCGGTCGATGCATGTCGCGTTAATCATGTTACACGAATTAAGTTGCCCCCAATTATTTAACATTCATCGGCCGATCGATCGACCTTGTTTCTGACCGGCCGGTCCCGTCATTAACATATTTGCCAACGATATTCGCAAACAATAACTCGATATTCTCTTTCGTCCAGGTCCAATCAAACTCGAGCGAGAGACGTCTCTCGTTAGAGACGCCCGACCCATTATCCTTCTTCTAACGAGGGAGAAATACGCCCGTCTCTTTTCGCGCTCGATCGGTAAAAAATTAACGAAAAGCTATTATCGACGGAGAGGAGAAGGGAAAATAAGACCGATGAATAAAAAGAAGAGGAATAAAAGGGATAGAAAGAAGAGAGTGATTAAGTGGAAGAAGAAGGAGATGGGAAAGAGAGAAGAAGAAAAAAAAGAAGAACAGAACGCGGTTTTCCAGGGAAGGACGGGGGGAGGGGGAAAAAAAAGGAAAGAAAGGAGAATTCGTCGGTAAGAAAGTGTACGCTAATTAAGGCTGTTTCATCAGAGATTCCCTTTTTCGAGGGGGATCGAGGCTTTTAAATAAATTATTCCGCGTTAAAAGCCTCTTCGCACTTCCTTGGATAATCCATTCGGGTTCGTTTCGTCTTGGTACTTGCGCTCCAACCAGGATTCCCGAGGATGGGATACGATCTAAGCCTTCTAATTATAGGTGTATCATAATGCATCGCGAGTCATGTCTCACGGTTAGAATTACTTTCTGGCTCGATTAAACGGGAAGAATTGGTCATTTGTATGG